ACAACGGCAGAATGGTCTCTTCTCGAAGCGGGGATGTTTCCGGTAGCAGCATAGGTTGACCAATTATTTGCATTCAAATCATAAACATGAATGTTTTTAAAATCATCAAGCAAAAACAAATCGTTCATTCCACCCAACACAACCATCCTATTACCGCTAATCAACGAGACAGTGTGTTGTTGTAACGAACCAGGTGATGATTCCAAGCTTCCATAATTTTGCCATTGACTGGCTTCTGGTAATAGCGGACTATTCAAACCCCACATATCAGCATTGACATACGATTTCTGTGATCCGGTCGAGTCGTCACTTTTCCCACCATAAATCCAAATTTCACCGTATTGATCAATCACGCATGAGTGCTCGTATCTTCTGGTTGGACTATTGTTAACAACAGCATTGGTGGATTTTTGTTGAATAATAGCAGGGTTTACAAATCTTTTTGTTATGGTGTCAAAAATTAATACATTTTGATTTTGAGTTGCGATAGGATCTTGCACGCTTCCGCCAATTATTATAATATCGTTCAGCTTGTCACCAATTCCGCTACTTGCCGTATGTCCATTAATTTTTGGTAATGCCAGTAAATTGTTGCCGCTACCGTCATCATTTAATTTCAAGTCATTATCGGTGATTTCTTGGGCTGGCCATGTTGATACATCCAATAGATTGAATGGTTTTGACATGTCAACCACAATAAGACTGCTTACAAAGGCATCCTTTTCTCCTCTTCCTCCTATAAAATATAATTTATTATCGATCAATGTTGCAGTGTGCCCATACCTTCCTGCTACGCTCGTTAAAACACCATCCACATTATTTACACATATCAATATTATTGCTAATACTAATATTATAAATGGCGGTAAAGAAGAAAAAGAGGGAGGTGATGGTGATGGTGAAAATGTAGGTTTTGATTTTGTAATATGCATTCAATTAGTTAAAATTGATTGAATGATTGAATGAATGATGATGATGATGATTGATGATGTTATATATAGGATGTCGGTAATGTATTTTCAAGGATACTAAAAAAATTTTTTTTTTTTTTGAAGAGGAAATGATGAATATTTATATGCGGAAAAAATTTGGTAGGGGAAGTTATATGAGTTTGGAATTTATTATTTAGGAAAATTTTTATTTTAAAAAGTGATATATTTAAATTAAAATTTATTTTTAATGAAAGAAAAAAAGGAATGAATGAACCAAGATAGAAATTTGATATCTAAGGAAATAAAATTTTTATAATTACTATTATTACTATTACTAATTAGGTTTTACAACCGGCGATGATTTATGAATTATAAAGAATTAAAGTTTGGAAAGAGATTGATAAAACGAGAGAAATTTATGGTCAACTATTAAAGGCTGCGTGGCTGTATTTATTATGATAGGCTAGAAACGATGTGGTTTGTATATGGTGGATGAATGGATGAATGAGAGAGGGTTGTGGTTGTAGTTGAAGTTGAAGTTGGAGTTGGGGAGAGTAAAGAATGTTAAATTGTTATATTACTATTAAGCAAATAATAATAATAATGGTGGTAATAGTAATAGTAATAGCGGTAATTAATAATGAGTCAAAAGAAAGAAGAAAATGAGAAAAGATTTGACAACATAATTTTGTTTACTTTTATTATTTTGATAATAATAACAAATACGCCGTATATTTATAGATAGTAAGTTGATTAATTGCTTCTGCTATAAACAACAAAATATATAATTAAATATTTCCTTAATAGTATAATGTAAAGCACACAATAACGAACATTTAAATTTTGTAGTAGATTATTTCTAATATTGGGTTTCTAATAAAAGCATTTTTTGTAACAAACAAACCGTAACAATGCAGTTTTATAAATTGTTAATATAAAAAGATGACTGGTTCTCGTTAATATTAATTTATTATTACTATTTATTATTATCCGTTTTTTATTACTTACTATTGTTTTATTCGAGAGGGGGGGGGGGGAGGGTTTGAAGCATGACATTCATTAATTGAGTTAATCGACTAAAGCTCAGCGAAACCATATTTTATTTAATATGACATAACTTAATTAACCGGTTTTTGATGACATAATCTGATGCTCTATTATATTTTTTGGTGTATTAAACTGTTGATCAAATAAATGTTAGAAAATACCTATGTACATACCAATGAGCGGAAAAACTTAATATATATATCTATCTCTCTCTTTTCTTTTATAGATTAAATAATTATCTTTAAAAGATCAAAATTCAAAAAATAAATATAATAGTAACAACTTTATTCGTTCATTATTATAGTTTTTGTATTGTTTCGTCCAAAATTAGGCTTGAAAACAAATTCATTATATATATATTTTATGTTTTGATTGGTGTTTTTAACACATGGACATTGAACCCGAATTATTTATTGGTGGATAGGGTTTCTTTGCTTTTTATTCCGCGTCATGTGACTTATGTACAAAAAAGAACCAACCAAAAGAACATTGCACAAAACGATGCAACATACATACAAACCTGTTTATATTGGTAGTACACAATTATTATGATTCTTTCTACATAATCACACATAAGATGATAATGATAATAATACCATTTACATATAAATAAAAATAAACAGTCAGCTAAAAAAACAAGATATATAGTAAGTTGCTGGTTAAGTGGAAAAAAAAAAAAAAAAGTTGTTTTGTAATTCTTGATTTAAAAGGAGATTTAGTGGATATTTATGTAGTTTCAATGAACATAAAAAAAGTTTATGAAAAAAAACTTGGATTATTTAGAAATTGGAAATTTCGAATTTTAATTTGCCGTACCAATCAAATAGGAGTCTTTGTGATTTGGATAATCACACGTGGCAATAACAAAAGATTATGGTGCGAGTTAAACTTTTTTTATTTATGAATTGAGTTTTTTTTTATGTATATAATAATTTATACTTTATTATTTTTTTTTTTTTGGTGAGAAAATAATTTTTCAATTTTTCTTATTTATTTGTAAATTATTTCTTTAAAAAAAAAAATTATTAATTAAACAAAGATCAAAAATAAAATATATATTCTTTTTTAAATTATTCACGATGATAATGAATGCTTCCGTCACCACTGTTCCTTCCAATACTAATATCAACAACACCACAAATGATAATGATAAAGAAGAAGAAATAAACGATATTGGTGGATGGAACGTTGTAACCTTTTGGAAAAAAGAAAATTTTAAAATGAATGAACATCAAACTACCTATTTAACCAACATGTTTGCCTCTGAAATATTACCTGGAGTCTATGTTGGAAGGTATTTTCATCATTTTCATCATCATCATCATCATTATCATCATCATCATCATTATATCCTCCCCTTCTCCTCATAATTATTATTTATGAATTAATTAATTATTTATTTAATAGCAAAATGGCTGCAAACGATAAAGCATGGCTTTCCGATCATAAAATTACTCATATTCTTACTGTAGCCGAAAATATTCAACCAACTTATCCCGAGGTCAGTGACCATGCAACAATTATTTTATTAATTACGCTCACTATCTATCTATCTCTATATAACAATTAATGGTTTTTTTTTAAACAGTCGTATCACTACAAATTAATTTCAATTCGTGATTTTGCCACCGAAAATATCTTGATACATTTTGAAAAGGCTTTTAAATTCATCAATCAAGCTTTGGCACATCCGAAAGGTGCAATCCTTATTCATTGGTAATCAAATCTATTTCATTCAATATTATTAGTAGAATATTCATTATTTGTTATAACTAATTAATTAATTTGTTGTCGTTGTTAGTCAAGCAGGGATTTCTAGGAGCACAACGAGTATGTACAAGTTTTTTGTGTTTTACAATTCATATAAACAAAAAAAATTAATTAAAAATTGTTATTTATGGATTAGTTGCGATCTCTTATATTATGAGACAACAGAATCTCTCATACAATGATGCATTGGCGTTCGTAGTCATGAAAAGACCAATTACCTGGTAAAACGGTTTTTTCAAAACTAAATTATTTATTTTGAAAAAATTATTATATTGTTTACATAATTTTTTATCATCTTAAAAAAAAAAAAAATAGCCCGAATCCCGGATTTCGTCAACAATTGCAATTGTATGAATCAATTGGTTATCTAAATCTAAAAAAAAATCCAAAATATTGGGGTTACTTGTTGAAAAGATGGAGTAAAAATTTATTATTGTAAGCGTTGGTTGATTGATTGATAAAGTGTTTTTGAAATTTTATTTGATTGTTTTTTTTTTTTTTAAAAAATCTATTTAGAGGTGTCTAGTCTAGGTTTTGAATTCTTCCGCTTGATACGAAATACATAAAAAAAAATTCTTTTAGTTTTTTTCTTTGATACTACTTACTATCTTGTGTACATACATGCATACATACATATATACATACATATATATATTAATTAATACATTTCGATTTATAATTAATTGCCTTTTCTTAAAAATTTATTTCATGTAATTTAATATTTTGTAAAAATTTTTTTAGAAAAAATCATCATTAATATTAATATTAAATATACATCTGCCGTGTATACACACACACGCGTGCGCCAATATTCACAAAGCAATTATGACATATATGTAAATGAATGAATGAATGAACTTTTTATCACATTTTGGATCCAACTTTACCTTTACTTTTGACGGAAGTACGCGACAAGTAAAAAAGGAAATACAATTTTTTGTTTTATTTCAATATGCTAGATATTTCTTTGTATTTTCGTCGAATTGTTTTTTTAAATAAGGTCAAGTGAAGCAAAATGTCAAATATGCTATATTACCAATTGGGTGATGCTTCTTCGCATGTTCCGATTCGATTTTGCTCCCAAAAAGTCTCCGTCCCGTCTCAAACAGAACCGCAAACGGCTGTTTTTCCTCGAGATTCTGTTGTGAGGCGTCGTTAACTCTTTGTTTGCATTTTGGGTAAAACACTTATCCGTTCATTGTGTTGAGATTTCTCTTTTTCCACATGGCATTCAATATAAATTATTAAAATACCATCAAATAAACAAAATTTGTAAAATAATGCTTTATCAATTGCAAATGACATTTTTTATAACAATTTATCAAATATATCCTACGTAGAAACTCACAAGCATAGTTATGCTGTTAATGATCAAAAACAAGCAATTTATTGTAAGCTTCTGAATTTGGAAAATGAGAGAAGGATTTATTCGTCAACTTGAACTAAAAAAATGTAATAAATGTAAATCAATGAGATGTTCAGAAGAATGCGTGTTTACAGTCACTTTTTGATACTTGGAGACCAGGAAATAAAATTACTGATGAATTCATTCATTACACAAATTATGGAATGAAAGAATTATTAAATTTGGATCACGAGATTCAAATAAAGTTGGATGAGAAATTTTAAATGAGGTTAGCGATAATTTTACTTGAATGAAATGCATTATATTATTATTATTAAATCAATTGCTATTTATAGATACCGAATTATTGTAAAAATACAATGGTTAATTGTCATGCTATAACACGGAAAATAATAACAACTATGAAATGGTTATAGCATGTGCTTTAGAAGTAAATTTAAAGAATTATTTACGAAAAAGTCATTTAAAAAAGATAAAAATTACAATGGTTATAATAATAATACATGAAAAAAAAATTTATCCGTTGTGATTTACATAATGGTAATATACTAACGCAAGCAGGTTGGCTGACTTAGGATTATGCAGATCAGTTGATGATGAATCTTTAAATAAAATGTATGGATTGTATCAGAAGTTCTTCGAGGAAGCAAAAATTCAAAGAATCAGATGTTTATAGCATTGGAATGATGTTCGCCATTTGACATGATTATGATCATATCATCATTTAATTTTAGATATTTGTAAGACCACGAATTTTACCCGGAATACCAGAAGAATATGTACAAATGACGAAGAAAATGTCGAGATGGTGATTCATTTAAATGATTAAGGAACTGCTTGAAATTTCTCGTAATTATAGGAATTATAAACATGAAGGTTTAAATAGTGAAAACTGCACAAAAAATTTTAATAATAATAATAATAATAATACTCAATTAAAAAACAAAAAATTATCCACTGACATATCGCAGTGGCGAAATTGCTAGGTATATGATTATACAACATTACCTCGAACTCATCAAGTATCCGAGGAAATCTCTGATGTTGATGTAAATTAAATTTTTATTTACTTTAGTTAATAAAATTAACATCAATAATAATGATAAAGGAAATGATGTATAAACGATTGAAGTGACCGACCAAACTGACGAGTTTGATGGAAAAACATTAAGGTAATCTGTCACATATTGTTAATAGTCATTAATAAATAATTTTTACTGGTAAAATTTATTTTAATATAAATTAGTTGAGGTTGAGAATGGGTGTTATTACAACTGAAGGTGATTGTTAATGTTATTATTTGAAATATTTTGCATTTGTTTTTCTGAATTGGTGATAACTTTCAAAAATTTTTTTTTAGAATTTATGATATTAATGGATGATTAATTAATACATATTTTATATTATTTTATATATTTATTTGTTATCATTATCAATCAATATTTAGTTTATAACAAAACAATTTTCTTAATTACCCAAAGAAAATGTTTAGATTTTTGTGTTCGGTCTAATGATTTATTGTATCTTTGGAGAAATCAAAAAAAAAAAATTCATACAGCTAGCTGTCTTATCACTTTTGGTAGTTGCTTGACGGCATTCAGAATATGTTACTGACTATTCTTTTATTTTTAGCTGAGTGGTAACAAACAACTACAGAAAAGTGACATAACAGATTTACTGATTTCGACCTATGATAACAATAATCACGTTTATAACAGATTCATTGTTGATTGATGTTATCTAAATTGTTGGTATTAATCAAGTTGTCGAAGAAGAACAATCTTGATAAAAAATGTTAATTTAACATCAAAACGATGATAAACCAGCGCTTAAGAAATACAGATTTAAACAAATTTCTGTAGCTTCTACAACAACATCTAACGATTTCAGACTTTGTTTGTTTCCTAACAAATTGGAAAACCTCTAAGGTGTCTCTCCGATTTCTTCAACTTTGATCAATTATTGCAGACATTAACGCTTTATCATTTGTGGTTGGATAAACACAAGTATCATTATTTTTAGAATTTGGAGGTAAATTTTTGATATCTTTACATATATAATGGCCATTATTTCAGGATAAATTAACATTACGCTGGAAATTATGTCCAATTGAGAAATTTTTGCGCCATTACATTTTTCTATATATAATGCACAAAAAAAAAAAAACAAAAAAACAAAATTACTTCCAATTTTTTGTGCATAAATGTACAATTTTTAAACAACTTTTGTGCAACAAAAATTGATCAGTGTTTGGGGGTGTTGTGCGTGAAAATGAAATCTACGTATGTGAAATTCAAATTAGCCAATCAGAATTTCATATCCAAACACCCACCCCAAAATTTCAATTATAAATTTCACATAGTCATACAACAGGGGAAAATACAGAATTTTATCATGCTACCATGATATTCGAAGCCCAATGATTATTTTGAGAAAATCTAATCTGTTATTTCATGACGCATTGTGTGGTCAATATTCTAAAGAGATATAGGAAGGTCTTAAAAGTCTCGGAGGATAATACTTTGAATCGTCACACGAGCTTAGCTATGCGTGGTTCGGCAGGACTCATTTGTTGATATTATAAATATAATTTATTTAAAAATACATAATAATGATAATATAAATAATGATAATAACAATAAAGTAAAATAAAATAAAATAAAAAAATAAAAAATAAAATCCTGACGTTTAAACTCAAGTCGGATTTTTTTTTTCTAAAATAAACATACTGTAAAAGAGAAAGTGAAAAAAAAATGTGTTCTTTGATGTCTGACCAAATCAGAACGTCACATTCTAGTGATTTTGATTTTTCAAATAATCTATTATTTGTTCCATTTCAAAATAATGTTGGTTCACCTTTAACATATAATCTTTAATCATCGACATATGGTGGGAAATATAAATAATTAAAGAGTCGTTGTTATATCTGATGGCATTATTATTAATATTTCCAGAATTCAACAAAGAAGTTCTATTATTAAAGTTTAAACCAGAACCGTTAAAATTAAGATTGGGATAGCTATTATTAAATGAAGATGTGGACAAATTGCTATTAGTGCAAAAAAGGTGCCGTGGTTGTGGTGACGAGAATGATAAAGGTTGTTGTGGTGGTATTATGTTATTATTAACATTATTATTATTGCCGTTTAAAAATGGTATATTGTTTGTTCCAGATTGATAATGAATTGCGGGAATTTGTTGATGATTATTAATATTAGTGTGAGTGTGAGCTTGTTGTTGAGTTTGTTGTTGAAATTGTTGATTATACATTTTTATAGTTTTTTTATTAAAGATTTTTATTTTTATTTTTTACTTGGAAAAAAAACTAATCTATTTATACGTTAAAATAAAAAAAAGACACTCTAATATTCTAATATCCAGATTTGTGTAGTGGCTCAAGTTTTGAATATTTCAAATTTCTATCATTAATTCGCGTGTTGTGTGTATATAATGCATACAATAATAAATAATAAATAAAATATATCAACACAGTTACACACTGAAATTTATATATACATTGAAGTCCATTTTAAAAAAAAATGATACATATTATTTAGATTTAGAAAAAAAAAAGTAATGCATAT